TATAAGGATTGCATGAAATACGGAGCTCCAACAAATTTTTAACCAAAAAAACTAAAAACTAGAGTCTTCAAGCTTCAACAGCTTTATTTTTTTATTTCCTGTACGACCATTTCTCACTGAAATACCGCCTGTTGAAAATCAGCCAAAAATTTGACAAATTTTTTTGTTCCCTTAATTTTTGCGAGGAGTGTAATAAATTATAATTTGACTGGTTTGGAAAAACAACACAAACTGACAAAATTTTGAATTTTAACTCAGAACATACAATTCATCAAAAAGTTAATATAGTTTCAAACTTAGTTGACCGAGTGTTTTTACTTGCTGACAAAAAATTTCGTTAACGTAATTTAAAAATAGTTACTAATATCCTGAAAAAGAATAATCTGAATTTATCAAAAAATATATACACAAACGGATCAACAAATATAAAAAAGGGAAGAATAATTCTAAAAAATTAAAAAATAAAAAACTACCTACAGTCGCTATTCCAAATATTGCAACATCTTTAAAAAATGTTCTTCTGTGTTAAAAAAACAGGACATTACTCCAATCTCTTTATTAAAAAACCAGTACAAGAGTTCATCCGTTTAGGAAAAGACAAATCTGATTTATTACACAATACTGGTATTGTCTACAGTTTTATCTTGTTGTAACAGTGTTCATGAAGGCACGGAACTAACACCGTATAAGTGTATCTATGGTAAATTAGCTTGCGTGCCTAGCCCAAAAACTTCACTCGAAGAAGACTCTGTAAACACGTATTACGATTATGTAGTCAGACTTGAAGAGCGACTGGCCAACGTGCAGAAACTCGCTTGAACAAATAAATGCAAAGAAATGGACTAAACACTTTTATGATAGAAGACGTAATCCTTGTGTTTTTAAAGTTGGAGATTACGCCATGCTATGTTAGAACCAAGGACTGGAAAATACGTGCCACAATATCGAGGACCCTATAAGGATATAGAAGTGAAAGATGAATCAGGAAACATAAAGATTACGTATAAAAACAGTATTCGTGTAGTACGCCCTAACAAATTACTCTTGACTCGCTTAAAATTTAGCGAAATCGGCACTACTCTGTCCCAGATAGTTTCCGTATATTGCAAAGCTATGAAGAAAATTTAAATACTCATTCCACCAAGAATGACTATAGCATGCATAATGTCATTACGAATACAGACGCATCCGTGACAAATAAATCGTAAGAGTAACTCGTGGAATAGTAGAATTAGTAATTATCGTAATAACATTTTCAAACCGAAACTTCAAAGAAGTTAAAATAAATACAATTTAAGTATTACGACAATATTGTAAGGATACCAAGTATAAACTAGAATAACCGGAGATTTGGAGTAGAACTACTGTAAAGCGAGTAAATAAAACAGATCATTTATTTATTTTCTCTTTTATATGTTTCTCTCCCACTTAGATCGCAGAAAGAACGAGAAAATATTGCGAGATGAGAATCCTAACGGCGGTTTTCTTCTTCGCATTCGTCAACATCGCTATTACACTCACCGCCTACAGGTGTGGGGAGGAAAAACCCAATATTACGACCGTCTCTCTTGTCAATGTTGGAACTTGTGATCTTGATGATATCAAGTCAGAATAAATTTCAGTGTACATCCAGTTAGAATAGTTAGTTAAATATGAAAGGGTCTTCGTGAGACAATGCAAGATCCGCGTTAAGCGAATCGTACGTCACTGCAGTATGTTCTTTCACAATTCTGATGTTGAACATGGTGTCGAGAATTACATTAAAAGGATCTAATCGGTTTCGACATAATACGGTATGGCAAACTTAAAATTGAAGAAGCCACCATAAGGAACATAAGAGTAAACACAACAACTCGCGAAACAATCACCAGCCATGGATCCTTGTTCGACCAAGGAAAATGTTAAGGAGTACCTCTAATAGTGAACCTCATTGAGTATGAGGACGTGTATGAGTACTTAGAGCTCACGATCATAGTACAAGAATTTTACGTTAGTGCAAAAAGAGAAAGGAACGAAATATACCTCTCGGCACACAATGCAAATGCAGACGGCCACTGTTTCACTAATGATGAGTACTATACCTTTTGGTTGACAAGTTTAGAACCTATACGTGCGGTTACAATAGATACGAAGCAAGGACTCCGACATCCTCGATACTGCCTGTAGCATTCAAATTCAACATATGGTACTCTCTGCTAAAAAACAGTCACTTCTCATCAATTCAGTTATAATCCAACCAATCAAAAAGCTAACTTGGCACTTCAAGAATTTTAAGGGTTTTCTTAACAATGGGATTTGATGGGATCTGATTGAAAACATCGCAAGAGGACGAAATGGCATGCTGACCCCCGCAGATACAATGAATCTGAGAAACCTACTAGATAAAGATACAATAGAAGAATTTACCGAGACAGCAATACAAAAAACTTTTCATGAAATTTTTCACTATCTCAGCAGAAGTTCTTATGATAGTACTAATCGTGTAATTTATAAAAGGGATCATAGACGTCTAATATCATATAACACAGAATATTTGGATAGAGCGCGCATCTATTTGCTGCAGTATGCTCATCAGTGACCCACTTGTTTCTATATCTCGCAAAACCTGCAACAGATGTCGAGAAACGACCCACACCGTCACGAGAAAAGAACATGGTATTTGATAGGCAATCCATTCGCTACAGAACTACACCACCCAAGATTTCCTTCAAGAACGACAGCAACAAGAAACCAAGTCAAGAATTGCAAGAACTACATGCTAAGCTGAAAGCCTCCAGCGATAAGTCCTCAACATCTCTCAAAGACAAATTATATAGATTAATCTTATGATAAGTGACCCTAGGAGTTAAGCATCGAAAAAATAATACAACACCTAGATCTTAAAGAAAGAAGAAAGGGTTGGATTGGGTTACTCCTATGCAAGATTTGTCGCCTTTCGCGCATTAAACTTAAGGAAACATCACTCCTACGGAACGTAACTATCATCACTGATAAATAAGACAGCGGTTTTGGATGGCGTGCCGCTCGAGCTATGGATAAATATATGTAGCCATACAAACAATCACTAATAAAGTTGTCATAAAACTACCTTACACCTATGTAGAAATAGTACAGCTCAGTGGTGGATCTGTCAGCGCTAGTCCATGCAATACATAAATAAAAGAGTTCTGTTGGTAGTTTCAAAGTGGGAGCTTCTTTAACAAGCTCCACACTTTTTCAATAACGAGGGAGGTGTTAGTGATGTAGTCATGTAGTGATGATAGTTAATTTAGCGATCTTGTAGTTCTTTGGAGTACCATATTTTAGTAATTTGCTATAGTTTTGAATGATTTTTTGAAGTTCTTTCTTTCATACTTCAGCAATGTTGAAATATGTGAACTCATATTTCCCGCGTAAAAGATGTATGTAGTAGCGCATGCGCAGAAGCGCACGAGTACACGGCGAGATGTATCTGTACAGTCATTCTCAACAAGCAATATTTGACGACATGTACAAAGTCCAAGGGAAAACTGTACATTTACAGAGCTATAAGCTTTATTAATAGACTCGTCTATTAACTTTTCATATCGATAAATTATTTGAAAATATTCCAGGCATTAATTTTCAAACTTGATCTTCCTTCCATAAGGAGCACAAACTTTTTTCTGTTCTCCTCATGATTGCATTTATCAGCATAATTATTCAGCATGTTCTTACAGATATATTTCTATTATTCTAGTTTTCTTTTATTGTCCCATTAGTCACTTCCTGTAATACAATATTGCATTGCAATGTGTTTCATTATTAAAGAATCATAAATCAGTTAATAAAGCATTGCATATCAAATGGCAATTAATGTAGAATAATATTTATTCACCTTAAAAAATCATAAAAAAGAGAGTAAACATCTTAATCAAGGAAGTTAAAATTCTTCACATATTTAAAGTATCTACGATAGCATTTTATTGATACTACGCGTGCTAATGTCACTCACTATGTACCTTTATACATAAAAATATATAAATATGGTTTTAGAGATAATGTTTCCTTACTTTTTATTCCTGTTTTATAAATAACTTCATTAAAAATAGATGTTTTTATATATATTTCGTAAAAAGCAGCAGATTCGATTTTAGTTCTTCAATTTTCCTCAATTATCCGTATTTCGGAAGCGAATGGATCAAGCCGAATTTCTCGTTAACCCGGACAAACTTTTTTTTCGGCTGAGAAGAGCTGTGCTTTAGAGATTAAAAAATAAATGGCTCTGTTACAATTACTACAACTCATTAAAACTATTCAAATTATCGAATTGTTTATTTTATATAACTTGTAAATTATCGCATTAAATTTAAGGCGATTTCGGTTCATATTTACTATAATTGACATGTATTTTAACGGCGAAAACAAAATGTATAAATATCTTGATTTTTTGCGGGATGTAAATTATGAAATCAACATAAGGAACCATTTTTTTCAAACTAACAAAGTACTAAGCAGGTTTTCCGTAGTATTGAATACAGAAAATATATCGTATAAACGAAAAATCGAAAAACAAATCATTAAACATTTATCAACAATTTAACTAATGTATGATTGTAAATGCAACGTCGTAATCAGTGAGGAAACCAAATCCCATAAAAAAATTTCTCCCCGTTATTATTTAATTAATCAATATGGTTTAATGTGGCGTATTATTGCAAATATTAAATTTTCTATTTTTCGTTGAAAGTTCTAGTGAAAATATAATTATAATGAATGAGGCCAGCAATAGCTCGGTCGGTAGGCCCGGGTTCGATTCCCAATCCCTGCTGATTGATACAAGCACCACTGAAAAAAGTTTCATGTGCTTTGTTCTCAAACACATTGCAAGCCTCCGTCGCTGATTAGCACTGATGGAGCATACGTAAATAGAGCGACGTTAAATAAAAAAAAAAAATTATAATGAAATATTATTTGAAAATACTAATGTAATTAATGATATAATCAATTTCTCTACAATAATATTATTTTTTTTGTTGCAGGTAACGTGTCTTCGTCTATTGGTGTCTCGATCACTTTACCTGTTAATAGCAATAATAGCTAGCACTCAAAAATCGACTGTGATACTTCTATAGTGTATAAAAATCTAAGGAATAATGCATTTGTTGTCATTTGAAATCTCAAAAAAATTATTAGTAATCCACTTAGAAAAATTACTCTCTTGTAAAGACAGTTAAATACAACTGTTCAATCTACATAAACGAGGGAGTGAAGATATTGATCTACTGTCACATACTCAAAAATTCTATTAAAAATATGTCTGTTTAAGTTTAATTTAGACAAAATTCAGTCTTCTGTTGAACTTTGTAAAATGTTAATTTTAGTTATCGTTATTGTATCTTTATTTAATATACTTTGTGACACTTTTGACAAGATTAGAAACTCAAAACTAAATAACATACGAGATATGTTTTACTTGTAAAAATTTATAAAACCGTCACAAATATGTGACCATAATATAAAACTTGTACATGCAATGTTCTGGTAATGCTACAATTTTTATTTAACTAATTCACCCTATACTATGTTAATAATTTGTATTCGTCGTTGCATAAGAAAGTCTATAAGTAGATATATAATATAATTTTTTAAATATTTACTATAAATTGATATCAATCTGACATTACAGATTTGTTGATAATCTATTGAAACGTTCTAAAAAATTTATCCATTTATCTATATTTGATAACTTTAATATATCTTTTGATATTTGATCATAATTTAGAATACTGAACATATTTTAAACTCAAAGAAATGGTTCATGGATTAGTCTAAGTAAGTAAATGTAGTTTTAATGTTAACTGTTTCCGCCGTTTTATTTTATTACTGCTGGTAAGCTCTCTAAATTTTATTGTCAGTATCAGAAAATAAGCGTGTAAGTTTAATAGTTTAAGTAAGGAAATAGTTAAATTATTGTAAATTTTTAACAAAATGAAATTTCCATATTGTACATAGAACTCACAGAATAAAATATACTTATACACTTATTTTTGTGATGTACTCTATAGAATATGATTGTAACGGGGATTTAACCCGAGTACATAGAAAATAATTAAATATAAACATATTTTTTAAATGAAATAAGGATTAAGAGTCCTCAGTTGGCTTACCCGTAGCTCAGGAATGCATTTATGCCTTCTGTTGGGCGAGTAAGATAGCAGGTTCATCGTATGGTTGAAAAGTGCGTGATAAATCGGTGCGCGGAAAGGAGTTAACACTACAAAGAGAAGAGGTAAATGTAAAAACAACGTAATAACTTGTACTGAGTTTTAATCGCAAGCAAAGCAATCATGAAAATAGCGTGAGAGAGAAAGAGAGATTACTTCTTCACTCGTAATGCAAGTCAAAAAAAGCTAGTTATTTAGCATACGCTTCAATGTAGACGCGTGAACAAGAATCCGCTCAAAGGTGAATTCCATTCTTTTTCTCTAACACTGTAGAGTAGCGGGTTATGATGTCATCACGTTTTAAGACAGCACTACAGTTCAGTACAGTAGGCGACGACGTAAGGAAAATCCTCGATGTAACGATCGAGGGGATTATGGTCATGGAAAAGTGGGTGACACCAGCTTGCGTCAACAAAGTCTTGCTCTTCTTAGCTGCAGTTCTTTCGTCATGCATGTGCGTTGCCTCCCGAATACTAAAAGCCCAATTACCGGTTTCGCGGTCCGACAATCTGTGCACGCGTTGACTCGAATACGACGCTAATACATCTGTCTCTCTATTTCTTTCTCAATATCTCGCTCTTACGCACACACATATTAAGCTCTACACTGCGTAGGCGTATCTCTCTCCTTTTTCACTTACCTTGTGCCGGAACACAAATACATATAGGATAATACAGAATAATAATTATATATTTATTAATAAATTGATCATAATAATTATTAAATAATAGTGAGTGAGGGATAGACATAACGAGTTAGCACTCCTTATACGATTAATATCAAAACGAACATACCATATCAACGATATTTAAACTGACATACTTTTATTTACGTATAGAAAGATAACCATAGCCGAATAGTATAAAAATAATTTAATTTTAATTTTCTTCCTAAATATCGGAAATGTTATATGAAAAATACGGGGGGGGGGGGAGTCAATAAGTCTTTACAAAAAGAAGGAAGAAACAGTTTTACGTATGTAATTTTTTTTTATTTTTCAACATAATCTCCTTGAAGGTCGATACATTTTATTAAACGGCCTTCCAGTTTTTTTAAGCCATCAGAAAAATATGATTTCGCCCTCAAAATAGGCATTTGTTTCTGCGATGACTTCTTCATTTGACGTGAATCGTTGCCGGCAAGCCATTTTTTGAGGTTAGGAAATAAGAAAAAGTCACTGGAAACCAAATCAGACAAATATGGTGGATGGTCAATTAATTCGAACTTCAAATCGTTAATTTTAGCCATCGAAACTACACACGTGTGAACTCTAGCATGTCTTGAAGAAAGAGGCATTTTTTTGTTCAAGTGTGGACGTTTTTCTCTGATTTTTTTTTCAGCTGACCTAATAATGACACATAATATTGTCTAGTGATCGTCTGGCTCTTTTCCAAGTAGATGATGTAGATGATTCCATACGCATCCCAGAAAACCGTGGCCATAATCTTGCCAATTAACTTTACTGTCTATGCCTTCTTTGGGGCTGGTTCTTCTGCTGTAATCCATTGTTTGGACTGTTTTTTGGTTTCAGGAGTGTAGTGGTGTACCTATGTTTCGTCTACAGTTACGAGTCGACGTCAAAAGTTTTCCGGATTACGACGTATGCGTGCCAAAAGAGCGTCAGAGGTGACCACGCAAGTTCATTTGTTTTCCTTTGATACCCCTGTGGCTTCAACTAATTCTTGAAATTTTAATCTTCTATCAGTCAACACCATATCATGGATTTTGTTGACCATTTCGGGTGTACTCACTTCTACGGGGCGTCCCGAATGAGGTTCATCTTTGGTTATTGTACGGCCGCGTTTAAATTCATTTACCCAGTTATAAACAGTTTTAAACACAGGAGCAGACTTTCCATGAACAGCGTTCAACTCAACTGTGATTTCTTTTGGTGTAAGGCCTTTCTAAATAAGATAAATTTCAATAATTTCGTCGTAAAAGAAAAGAACAAAAAAAGAATGAGGGGAAAGACTAACTCGTAATACGGAGGGAAGAGGAAAAGAATTTTAAAGTTTAAAATCTCCCTTACAACTACACACACACACGTGCGCACATCCACTGACACATACATATATATACATGGCCTAATATAATTTTCTTCATCCTCACATTCCCTGTGAGATACGTATACGTCATCCATCGTTCAATCGTGGTCGTCAGTCTCATTAACCGATAGGCCATGTATCATGAATCTGGTTATTCAAGCACCGCACCAGACTGGATGCAAAATTAAATATGCGCTTTTTGCGCAAAACATCAATCATTAACCGAATCTCAATAAAGTTAATAATAATAATAATCTTAATAAACCCCCTTCAATATGTCAGGCATTTTCGAATTTGATAATATTCGTACAGGAAATTGTAATCGGATTTCGAGCGATCCGTAAGTACAGTAATACTTCCTTCATCACAATAAATGATTTTTAAAATAATCGGATTAAGCTCTTAAAATTTCAAGTTAATTGGTTTTTGCCCGTTGCATGTTTCCTCTACGTATCCATAACAATATTGAATAATTCTTATTTTCATTTCTAATTTATTAAAATTTTTACTATTAAATTTTATTCAATATTACTTATATTTTTTCTTACAAATATAATATTATTTCATTAACCCATTAACGCCCAAAACCAGAGACTTTTACACTGATTTTCGAGCCATACTTCCTAATCGGAAAATGAGATATACGAGGTGTGATCAAAAAGTAAGGTGAATTTTTATTTTTCTCAAAAAATATTTATTTATTCATCAATTTTTATTTTATCTCCTTCAAAGTAATCCCCCTCGGATATAATGCACTTGTGCCAACGCTTTTTCCAATCCTCAAAGCATTTCAAAAAATCATTTTTTGTGATCTTGTTTAGTTCATCCTTCGTTCATCCTTTCGATGCCGTCTTTATCTCCTCAATCGTGATAAAACGCCGTCCATTCATGGGCCTCTTCAGTTTTGGGAACAAGAAAAAGTCACAGGGGGCCAGATCTGGGGAATACGGTGCCTGTGGCATCGTTACTGTGTTGGTTTTAGCCAAAAATTCGCGCACAAGCAACGATGTGTGAGCAGGGGCGTTATCATGGTGCAAAAGCCAATTTTTATTTTTCCACAAATTCGGACGTTTCTGGCGGATTGCTTCGCGCAAATTGCGCATAACTTGCAGGTAATATTCCTTATTTACTGTTCTACCCTGTGGCAAGAACTCATGATGCACCACGCCCCTGCAGTCAAAGAAAACTGTAAGCAAAACCTTTACATTTGATCGAACTTGGCGTGCTTTTTCTGGTCTTGGTGATCCAGAATGCCTCCACTGGGACGATTGAGTCTTAGTCTCGTCGTCATAACCGTATACCCATATTTCGTCACCTGTTATAACCCTGTTGAGTAAATCTGGATCATCGTTGACGTCATTCAGTAGCTCTTGGGCGATGCTCATGCGACGTTTCTTTTGGTCGAAATTGAGCAATTTCGGAACAAACTTCGCTGACACACGTCTCATGTCTAAAACACTCGTCAAAATTGATTGGCACGAACCAAATGAGATGCCAATATCATCAGCAATTCCTCTAATGGTAATTCGACGATTTCCCAACACTATTTTCTTCACTTCTTCAACATTCTCATCAGTTGTTGATGTGCTGGGGCGTCCAGAACGAGGTTCGTCGTCGGTGTCTTCTCGGCCTTCTTGGAAGAGTTTATACCACTTGTAAACATTTTTTTGGCTTAAAGTAGACTCACCGTATGCCACTTTCAGCATTTCAAGTGTTTTGGAACATTTGATTCCATTTTTCACACAAAATTTAATGCAAACTCTTTGATCCATGTTTTTAGACAGCAGCAAATCGTGGAGCACGCAAAACACTTCTAACCTTGATGCCTCTCACAAACAAACCAAACATACTACAAAGCTGAAATTTGGAACGTATGTTCTAGACGAGTGTACCGACATAACCAAATAAAAAAGTCGAAGATCGAACGAACGTAGCCCGTTAAATTTCAAAATTCACCTTACTTTTTGATCACACCTCGTACATCGACCAAACCTACTTTACTTTATATTTTCCGGTCCGCTCTTTCGATTTCTGACGTCAAAATTACGTTTTTTTGCATTCTAAATCCAATATGGCGGACTTTATTAGAAAAAGTTAGGCTATTTTCAAAATTTTTTTTTTAACTTTTTTTTTCAATTACATACAAAACTTGGATCTATTTCAAACTATGGACAAAAGTGGACAAAATAGCTATAGTTTATGGAAAAAATTTTTTTGGTCAATTTCAAATTGTTTATCATGACGAAAATGGCGGCTAATTGCTAAAATTTTACAAAATCAGTGGATTTTCGCATTATTTCATGTATGAAC